TATGACAAACTCTTATTTTCTTTACACTTAGCCCTTGGAGGGAGGGGGTTATTATCAATGCTGTTCGTTTTGAATCCGTCGCCAAGTTTGATGTGTTAGGTGTCTGTTGAGATGATGAGATTGCTCGAGATGGATATAGTGTATGTCAGTTCTTGAGAGTAATGTGATCATCCAACATTCCTTTTGATGAGTTCGAGATTCCGTTGGCACAGGTAACACTAAAAGCGCGGTGAGTTAGGGATGAGTATCTTGTGAGGGAGACAAGAACAGGAAGTACATCGAGATGGGTTCTTTTTTTTTAAGGATAGCTTCATCCGCCACATCGAATTGTGTACAAATAAACCAAAAGGGAAACGGAAATATTTGGCAGGGCCGATTTGTAAAGTTGTAAACTACTTTTCGCGACTCCTAAAAAAGATTTACCTTCATTCCTGCAGTTTGGTATTGGATAATAAATGAACAACTTTCGTAGGCTTACTGAATGGTAAAGTATAGTGTACATTCAGTGTTCTTTTCAAGACTAAGTTTGGAAGAAAAGATGGAACCTCCAAACTGAAAGAACCGATCAGAATATGTGGGGAGCCTTTAAAACTCACCCTAACAATCCAGAATCAAGAAAGCCTCAATGGAAAGTGGAACCAAGGCTATCCCCACTATCGTCCATCATGATATACCAAGGGAGCTTTCTACGCGCCCTTGGATTCTTTATCAAAGAAACTAATGACGAATAGTTTCTATCGATTCGTCTGATATGCTGAGACATGCTGAGCACAGAAGTTGAAGACCGTTTAGCGCTTAAAGTAGATAAAAATGAAGGCGTTGGTGGCCTAGTGGTTAGGCTCTAGGATTCGCATTCGTCAGGCGGTGGGTTCGAATCCTGTTAAGAGTTCGACGTTGTGTCCTTGGGAAAGGCGCTTTGCATTAATTTTTCTCACTTCACCCAGTTCGAAATGGGTACCCACGTATAGACAGCCAGTTTGTTAGTACTTGAGCGCATGTAATACGAAGGTTGCACTGTATGCATCCCGGGAGGCCGAGAATGTTTTTTAGTGTTCTTGGGTCTGCTGGAGTAATAATGGCTGTAATTAAGCGCATAGAGCATGCTGTAGAAAGAGGATATGAGGTCTATAAATGCAATTATTATTGTTTCTTCAGATGATGGTGGTGGTAATGATAGGGGTGGTGAACTAGACGTAGAAACAAACCAAAGAAAAAAAGAATAAGATAGTGATAACGCATAGAAGAAAGAAACAAAAGAAAAGAAGACGGAGAAGAAAAATTACATGAACTACAACAGCAGTAAGAGGAAAAATATCAAGAGGATAACGTGACGTACGTACTACTAATGCTATCTCCCTGTGTAATAGTTATATTCATAATGATGATGATTATAATAATAATAATAATAATAATAATAATAATAATAATAATAATAATAATAATAACAACAATGTTAATATAATAATGATGATGATGATGATGATAATAATAATAATAATAATAATAATGATAATAAAGATGATGATAATAGTGGTAGTAGCATAATAATTATATTACTATTATTATTTTTTTTTTATTATCGTTATCATTATTATTATTATTATTATTATTATTATTATTATTATTATTATTATTATTATCATAGTTATTATAATGATGATGGGGATAATTGCGTAGCCGCGCTCTACAGCATGTACTTTACAATTATTATTACTCGCAGCAGTCCCGATTTCTCTCAGAAATTATTCTTGGCTTCCTTAGAGGCATACAGTGAAGTTGAGTGAAGCTGCGGATTGCAGGCAGGCGCTCAAACACTAACAAACTGACAAGATCTTTCGCTAGTGTGTACCTCTCTGCGTGCCCGATCAAAGAAGGTTTTTTTTACTTGACGTAGGAAGAAGGGAGACAAGCAGGTGATAAGACGCGCGCACACGCACATACATGATACGCTGACTGTTGTCTCTCTGGGTGGCAGGAAGCGAGTGACTTGTACTATTTTGGTGCAGGACTTCAGTGATTTCAGCATGGGTGCACCTCTTTTAATGCAGTTTTTGTGTTAGAACTCAGCCACTCTCTGACAACTTATCTCTGTGTGGCGTGCTGTTGGTGCGGAGTAATCCTTTACTTTGATTTGGGGCTTGCACGAAAATAGCCACCACTTTCTACGAGAAACACATTCGAATTATCATACAGAAAGCGAAGGAGAAGACTGTATGGGAGTGACCCTTGACCAACCTTTCGTGTACTTCTCATGTTTTTGTTTTATTTTGGGTTGGTTGGGGTTTGTTTTGGGGGTTTTTATGGGGGGGAGGTTGGGGGGGGGGGGGTTGTTAGTGCCAGGACTGAGACAACCATCAGCGGTCATGGTTCCTCACTCTTTTCCTTATTCGGATTCTCTCCAAAAACTATCGTATCATTTTGTTTTCCTCGTCACTCTTCTGTTCACGTTTTCTATGTACTGCCTCTATAACAATGCCACCAAGTTTAAAAGAAAGTGTATTGCCACCCTATCTTCTGTCGGTGTATATGCTTAATTTTCATTCTGTTT